TCTCGCCGGCCGGGAAGGCTCTGTTTCTTTGTGCTCAGGTTAGGCCCACCCAGGAGCACAGACTGGAGGGACCTGGCCTCCATGGGGGCTGGCATCCAGCTCAGGCCCGAGGCTGGAGGACGTTGGCGTAGTCGTGAAGCGTCTGGGGTGCATCCTGCAGCAGGGCGGAGAGGACCCACTTCACCTGGAGGGAGCAGGCTTGTGAAGCCGCGCTGAGCCCAGCCGTGCCCCTCCCTGGGCCGCCCCAGGCAGCAGCCCACCTTCAGGAGGGTGATGGTGGCCCCGTAGCTCACGCTGAGAAGGAACAGGGCGATGAACACGCAGGCGCTGGTCCACAGCTCCTCCAGCTCCTCAGCCTGCACCTCCTCTGTGCACAGCTCCTGGAGGTCCAGCTCTGGAGGGATGGGCCCGTCAGCTCTCCCGGCCATCCCCAGGTGGGAGGGGCGGAGCCCTTGCCCATCTCAGTGAGGCCCAGAGTGGCCAACTCCCTGTCTGGCCCCATCCCCTACCCAGCTGTGGAGGGTTGGGGATGCAATCTGTCCCCAAGTCGGCAGGGGCCGGCTGTGTGTGGGGAAGCCCTGGTCCTCTGACCTTTCCTGACCTTGACTTTTTATTCCCTCTCCCCCACGCCGGTGGCTGGGTCCTTGCAGGCCCCTTCCAGAGACTTTCCCAGGAAGGGCTCTGGGCTTCCAGCCTGTCCCCTGAGACCTGGGTAGGTTCTTCAGGCGGGAATCTTGGCAGTGGGTCTCCAAGTGGCTGTGCCCGCCGATAGTCTCTGCTCTTGGTCCAGAGGGGCCTGCACCCCACCCCCATTGCCTTGAGCCTTGCCAGCGTCCATGATGCCCACAGCCAAAGCGAGTGCTGGGGGAGGCAGGGCGGGGGGCGGGGGGCAGCGTGTGACCAGAATTGTACTCATTTCCTTACTTACATGACCGCAGTCCCTCTCTCTGTACACCACCTTTACAACTGAAAACAAAAGTGAGGTACTTTCTCCTATCTCTTTCTCGGGGGCTGGGTCAGAATGTGGAAGGTGCGTGGATCTGGGGCGGCCTCCAGCGCATGCGTGGGCATCTGTGTGTGCTCTGCGTGAACCACTGTGCGTGTGTGAGGTGTGCTCTGGCCGGGCCGTGTGTCTGACGTGCCCGTGGGCTGGGGCTGGCTCTGCTTTGGGATGTGGCTGAACGGGAGCATAATGGTGCCTACACTTGATGTCCTTGTACCCAAGCGTATGTCCGTAGTTCCTGGAGCTCCTGCGTGTGCTCATTCACGTGCTTCTATGTGTCCATGTGTCTGCACATGCTTGTGCCCATTCTTTCTCTGTATGTGTGCTCACGTGCCCACGTCTGTCTGTCCTTGGAGGACAGTGGTGGCTGTGTGGGGGACACTGGTGCCAGCAGGGGGCAAGGCCCCTGCTGGCCTTGGACTCAGTGGCCCCAGTGTGTGGAAGGAGGGGCTCAGGGCTCAGGAGGGCTTTGGGCTGAGGGGCAGTGGTGGTCCAGGACAGGCCGTGTGTAAGCCTGTTGAAGACATGTCACCAAGTAGGGGCCCGTGGCTGGATGCAGCTGATGGTTCAGGGCATGGGTGGAGTTGCCCTGAGCTCTGGTGTGGCTGCATGTCTAGGTGTGCTCCCCGTGTATAGCAGTGGCTGGGTGTGCACCTCGTGTGTGGCAGTGCAGTGTCTGTGTGTGCACCCGTGTGTGGCAGTGCAGTGTCTGTGTGTGCACCTCGTGTGTGGCAGTGCAGTGTCTGTGTGTGCACCCCGTGTGTGGCAGTGTCTGTGTGTGCACCCGTGTGTGGCAGTGTCTGTGTGTGCATCCGTGTGTGGCAGTGTCTGTGTGTGCATCCGTGTGTGGCAGTGCAGTGTCTGTGTGTGCACCCTGTGTGTGGCAGTGTCTGTGTGTGCATCCGTGTGTGGCAGTGTCTGTGTGTGCATCCGTGTGTGGCAGTGTCTGTGTGTGCACCCCGTGTGTGGCAGTGCAGTGTCTAGGTGTGCATCCGTGTGTGGCAGTGCAGTGTCTGTGTGTGCACCCGTGTGTGGCAGTGTCTGTGTGTGCATCCGTGTGTGGCAGTGTCTGTCTGTGCACCCGTGTGTGGCAGTGTCTGTGTGTGCATCCGTGTGTGGCAGTGTCTGGATGTGCACCCATGTGTGGCAGTGTCTGTGTGTGCACCCGTGTGTGGCAGTGCAGTGTCTGGGTGTGCACCCCGTTTGTGGCAGTGCAGTGTCTGTGTGTGCACCCCGTGTGTGGCAGTGCAGTGTCTGTGTGTGCACCCGTGTGTGGCAGTGCAGTGTCTGTGTGTGCACCCGTGTGTGGCAGTGCAGTGTCTGTGTGTGCACCCGTGTGTGGCAGTGTCTGTGTGTGCATCCGTGTGTGGCAGTGTCTGTGTGTGCACCCGTGTGTGGCAGTGTCTGTGTGTGCATCCGTGTGTGGCAGTGTCTGTGTGTGCATCCGTGTGTGGCAGTGTCTGTGTGTGCATCTGTGTGTGGCAGTGTCTGTGTGTGCATCTGTGTGTGGCAGTGCAGTGTCTGTGTGTGCATCCGTGTGTGGCAGTGTCTGTGTGTGCATCCGTGTGTAGCAGTGCAGTGTCTGGGTGTGCATCCGTGTGTGGCAGTGCAGTGTCTGTGTGTGCACCCGTGTGTGGCAGTATCTGTGTGTGCATCCGTGTGTGGCAGTGCAGTGTCTGTGTGTGCATCCGTGTGTGGCAGTGTCTGTGTGTGCACCCGTGTGTGGCAGTGTCTGTGTGTGCACCCCGTGTGTGGCAGTGTCTGTGTGTGCATCCGTGTGTGGCAGTGTCTGTGTGTGCATCCGTGTGTGGCAGTGTCTGGGTGTGCATCCGTGTGTGGCAGTGTCTGTGTGTGCATCCGTGTGTGGCAGAGTCTGGGTGTGCATCCGTGTGTGGCAGTGCAGTGTCTGTGTGTGCATCCGTGTGTGGCAGTGTCTGTGTGTGCATCTGTGTGTGGCAGTGCAGTGTCTGTGTGTGCATCCGTGTATGGCAGTGCAGTGTCTGTGTGTGCATCCGTGTGTGGCAGTGTCTGGGTGTGCATCTGTGTGTGGCAGTGTCTGGGTGTTCATCTGTGCGTGGCAATGTCTGTGTTTGCACCCGTGTGTGGCAGTGTCTGTGTGTGCATCTGTGTGTGGCAGTGTCTGTGTGTGCATCTGTGTGTGGCAGTGTCTGTGTGTGCATCCGTGTGTGGCAGTATCTGTGTGTGCATCCGTGTGTGGCAGTGTCTGTGTGTGCATCTGTGTGTGGCAGTGTCTGTGTGTGCATCTGTGTGTGGCAGTGCAGTGTCTGTGTGTGCATCCGTGTGTGGCAGTGCAGTGCCTGTGTGTGCATCCGTGTGTGGCAGTGCAGTGTCTGTGTGTGCATCTGTGTGTGGCAGTGTCTGGGTGTGCATCTGTGTGTGGCAGTGTCTGTGTGTGCACCCGTGTGTGGCAGTGTCTGTGTGTGCATCCGTGTGTGGCAGTGCAGTGTCTGTGTGTGCATCCATGTGTGGCAGTGCAGTGTCTGTGTGTGCATCTGTGTGTGGCAGTGTCTGGGTGTGCATCTGTGTGTGGCAGTGTCTGGGTGTGCATCTGTGTGTGGCAGTGTCTGTGTGTGCATCTGTGTGTGGCAGTGTCTGTGTGTGCACCCCGTGTGTGGCAGTGCAGTGTCTAGGTGTGCATCGGTGTGTGGCAGTGCAGTGTCTGTGTGTGCACCCGTGTGTGGCAGTGTCTGTGTGTGCATCCGTGTGTGGCAGTGCAGTGTCTGGGTGTGCATCCGTGTGTGGCAGTGCAGTGTCTGTGTGTGCACCCATGTGTGCCAGTGCAGTGTCTGTGTGTGCACCCGTGTGTGGCAGTGCAGTGTCTGTGTGTGCACCCGTGTGTGGCAGTGCAGTGTCTGTGTGTGCATCCGTGTGTGGCAGTGTCTGTGTGTGCATCCATGTGTGGCAGTGTCTGTGTGTGCACCCCGTGTGTGGCAGTGTCTGTGTCTGTGTGTGCACCCCGTGTGTGGCAGTGCAGTGTCTGTGTGTGCACCCGTGTGTGGCAGTGCAGTGTCTGTGTGTGCACCCGTGTGTGGCAGTGTCTGTGTGTGCACCCGTGTGTGGCAGTGTCTGTGTGTGCATCCGTGTGTGGCAGTGTCTGTGTGTGCACCCGTGTGTGGCAGTGTCTGTGTGTGCACCCATGTGTGGCAGTGTCTGTGTGTGCACCCGTGTGTGGCAGTGCGGTGTCTGTGTGTGCATCCGTGTGTTGCAGTGTCTGGGTGTGCATCCGTGTGTGGCAGTGCAGTGTCTGTGTGTGCATCCGTGTGTGGCAGTGTCTGTGTGTGCACCCGTGTGTGGCAGTGTCTGTGTGTGCATCCGTGTGTGGCAGTGTCTGTGTGTGCACCCGTGTGTGGCAGTGTCTGTGTGTGCACCCGTGTGTGGCAGTGTCTGTGTGTGCATCTGTGTGTGGCAGTGTCTGGGTGTGCATTTGTGTGTGGCAGTGCAGTGTCTGTGTGTGCACCCGTGTGTGGCAGTATCTGTGTGTGCATCCGTGTGTGGCAGTGTCTGTGTCTGTGTGTGCATCCGTGTGTAGCAGTGCAGTGTCTGTGTGTGCACCCCGTGTGTGGCAGTGTCTGTGTGTGCATCCGTGTGTGGCAGTGTCTGTGTGTGCATCCGTGTGTGGCAGTGTGTGTGTGTGCATCCGTGTGTGGCAGTGTCTGTGTGTGCATCTGTGTGTGGCAGTGTCTGTGTGTGCATCTGTGTGTGGCAGTGTGTGTGTGTGCATCCGTGTGTGGCAGTGTGTGTGTGTGCACCCGTGTGTGGCTGTGTCGGTGTGCATCTGTGTGTGGCAGTGTCTGGGTGTGCACCCGTGTGTGGCAGTGTCTGGATGTGCACCCCTGTGTGGCAGTGTCTGTGTGTGCACCCGTGTGTGGCAGTGTCTGGGTGTGCATTCGTGTGTGGCAGTGTGTGTGTGTGCATCCGTGTGTGGCAGTGTGTGTGTGTGCACCCGTGTGTGGCAGTGTCTGTGTCTGTGTGTGCACCCGTGTGTGGCAGTGCAGTGTCTGTGTGTGCACCCCGTGTGTGGCAGTGTCTGTGTCTGTGTGTGCACCCGTGTGTGGCAGTGTCTGTGTGTGCATCCGTGTGTGGCAGTGTCTGGGTGTGCATCCGTGTGTGGCAGTGTCTGTGTGTGCACCCGTGTGTGGCAGTGTCTATGTGTGCACCCGTGTGTGGCAGTGCAGTGTCTGTGTGTGCACCCCGTGTGTGGCAGTGTCTGTGTGTGCATCCGTGTGTGGCAGTGCAGTGTCTGTGTGTGCATCCGTGTGTGGCAGTGTCTGTGTGTGCATCTGTGTGTGGCAGTGTCTGGGTGTGCATCCGTGTGTGGCAGTGTGTGTGTGTGCACCCGTGTGTGGCTGTGTCGGTGTGCATCTGTGTGTGGCAGTGTCTGGGTGTGCATCCGTGTGTGGCAGTGTCTGGATGTGCACCCCTGTGTGGCAGTGCCTGTGTGTGCACCCGTGTGTGGCAGTGTGTGTGTGTGCATCCGTGTGTGGCAGTGTGTGTGTGTGCACCCGTGTGTGGCAGTGTCTGTGTCTGTGTGTGCATCCGTGTGTGGCAGTGTCTGTGTGTGCATCCCTGTGTGGCAGTGTCTGGATGTGCATCCGTGTGTGGCAGTGTCTGTGTGTGCACCCGTGTGTGGCAGTGTGTGTGTGTGCATCCGTGTGTGGCAGTGTGTGTGTGTGCATCAGTGTGTGGCAGTGTCTGTGTGTGCACCCGTGTGTGGCAGTGCAGTGTCTGGGTGTGCATCTGTGTGTGGCAGTGTCTGGGTGTGCATCCGTGTGTGGCAGTGTGTGTGTGTGCATCCATGTGTGGCAGTGTCTGTGTGTGCACCCGTGTGTGGCAGTGTCTGTGTGTGCATCCGTGTGTGGCAGTGTCTGGATGTGCATCCGTGTGTGGCAGTGTCTGTGTGTGCATCCGTGTGTGGCAGTGTCTGGGTGTGCATCTGTGTGTGGCAGTGTCTGGATGTGCACCCCTGTGTGGCAGTGTGTGTGTGTGGCAGTGCAGTGGCTGTGTGTGGCAGTGTCTGTGTGTGCACCCGTGTGTGGCAGTGTCTGTGTGTGCATCTGTGTGTGGCAGTGTCTGGGTATGCATCCGTGTGTGGCAGTGTCTGGGTGTGCATCCGTGTGTGGCAGTGTGTGTGTGTGCATCCGTGTGTGGCAGTGTGTGTGTGTGCATCCGTGTGTGGCAGTGTCTGGGTGTGCATCCGTGTGTGGCAGTGTGTGTGTGTGTGCACCCGTGTGTGGCAGTGTGTGTGTGTGTGCATCCGTGTGTGGCAGTGTGTGTGTGCGCACCCGTGTGTGGCAGTGTCTGGATGTGCACCCGTGTGTGGCAGTGTGTGTGTGTGCATCCGTGTGTGGCAGTGTGTGTGTGCGCACCCGTGTGTGGCAGTGTCTGGATGTGCACCCGTGTGTGGCAGTGTGTGTGTGTGCATCCGTGTGTGGCAGTGTGTGTGTGTGCATCCGTGTGTGGCAGTGTGTGTGTGTGTGCATCCGTGTGTGGCAGTGTGTGTGTGTGTACCCGTGTGTGGCAGTGTGTGTGTGCACCCGTGTGTGGCAGTGTCTGGATGTGCACCCCTGTGTGGCAGTGTGTGTGTGTGGCAGTGCAGTGGCTGTGTGTGCACCCGTGTGTGGGCTGTCTGCTCACTCCAGGCCCCACATGCCCTGGGGCTGTGAGGCCAGGTGGCGGTGGGGAGCCCTGGGTGCTGCCATGAGGCTCAGGTGTAACCCGTGGGCAGGTGGGTGGCGAGCTACGTGATGGGTCTGTTTGGGCTCCTTGGCTCCCAAGCAGAGAGGGACAGGCAAAAGCGCGGTCCTGGGATGTTTTCCGCACCTGTGTGGGTCCTGACTTGGAAGGGTCCCAATGTCCAGGAGTTGGTCTGCCCGGCGGGAGGGAGGCTGGACCCCCTGGGTCCCTGCCCGAGGACCCCTTCTGATGGGCAGAGTCCCCCGCAGGGCAAGGAGGGCCTGGGGTGTCTGGGCGAGCCCCTTGCACTGTGCTATTTGGCAGATTCCCCCGGCACACAGGCAGGTGGGTGAGGCGAGCTCACCCCTGCCCCTTCTCCTTACAGCCCTTGCTCTGTGCCAGGATTCCTCTTCTTCCAGCCCGCCATGACCAATGACAGCGTCCAGGCTCAGAGCAGACGCCAGGCATTTATTAGGAGGCGTCCTCACTCTCCCAGCTGGACGGAGCCCTGGGAGGGAGGAAGAGACAAGGAGACATCATTTACCAGGGTTCCTGGACACCGTCCTGTCCAGGGTCCACGGCTTGTTCAGCGCCTCGTGGACCACTCGGCAGGTGAACCGGTTATTCTGCATCCAGTCTGCCCTGGTGACCTCCAGGCGGCTGAAGGCAAAGAAGGTGGTGCTGGAGTCGCTCATCCGGAGCGGCGCGGTGGTGCTCTGCCTGCCGCTCAGAATTGGCTTCTGGTTCCGCAGCCACTGCACGGAGATGTCCACGGGGAAGAAGTTCTGAATCAGGCAGGTGAGGGTGAATTTGTCGTGGCTCTCCTCCTCGGGGGGCAGGAACACGTAGACCTCGGGGGCCTCCCGCGGGCCTGTGGAGGGACCCGGGTCAGCCTGGCCTGTCTTCTCCCCGGGTCAGCCTGGCCTCTGTCTTCTCCCCGGGTCAGCCTGGCCTGTCTTCTCCCCGGGTCAGCCTGGCCTCTGTCTTCTCCCTGGGTCAGCCTGGCCTCTGTCTTCTCCCCGGGTCAGCCTGGCCTCTGTCTTCTCCCTGGGTCAGCCTGGCCTCTGTCTTCTCCCTGGGTCAGCCTGGCCTCTGTCTTCTCTGTGACACAGGGAGCCCCCCCCCCCCGCCTGTCCTCACCGGGGGTCTTGGTGATGGAGCGCACGATGGCCTTGGGCAGGAGGTCCTGGGTCACGGTGCACCGGTAGGCCTCACCCCCAACCCAGTCCTGGGTGTCCACCGGCAGGGTGGCGATGATGCTGGTGGTGGCGTTGTGGTGCTGGACGCTGCTCCAGGAGCCTGTACCTGCTGGCTTCCCGCTCTCCCGTGCCCAGACCACGCTGACCCCATCCAGGCTTTCCAGATCCACCACCAGACAGGTGAGTTTGGGTGCTTTGTAGACATACAGGTCCAGAGGGCTGGGTGGGACCAGGTAGGCATTCACGCCTCTCTGCTCATACTCTGTGGTATCAGGAGGGATGTGTGAGAGCCCACCCCCCCAGACCTCTCTGTGTCTGGGAGCCAAGGTAGGGAGAGGCCTCAGTGTGAGCAGGGCTGCGGGGAGGATGGAGGCTGTGGGGAGGATGGAGGATGGAGGCTGTGGGGAGGATGGAGGCTGCGGGGAGGATGGAGGCTGCGGGGAGGATGGAGGATGGAGGCTGTGGGGAGGATGGAGGATGGAGGCTGTGGGGAGGATGGAGGATGGAGGCTGTGGGGAGGATGGAGGATGGAGGCTGTGGGGTGGATGGAGGATGGAGGCTGTGGGGAGGATGGAGGCTGTGGGGAGGATGGAGGCTGTGGGGAGGATGGAGGCTGTGGGGAGGATGGAGGCTGCGGGGAGGATGGAGGATAGAGGCTGCAGGGAGGATGGAGGATGGAGGCTGTGGGGAGGATGGAGGCTGTGGGGAGGATGGAGGATGGAGGGTGTGGGGTGGATGGAGGATGGAGGCTGCGGGGAGGATGGAGGATGGAGGCTGCGGGGAGGATGGAGGCTGTGGGGAGGATGGAGGCTGTGGGGAGGATGGAGGCTGTGGGGTGGATGGTGGATGGAGGCTGTGGGGAGGATGGAGGATGGAGGCTGTGGGGAGGATGGAGGATGGAGGCTGTGGGGAGGATGGAGGCTGTGGGGAGGATGGAGGATGGAGGCTGTGGGGAGGATGGAGGCTGCGGGGAGGATGGAGGCTGTGGGGTGGATGGAGGCTGTGGGGAGGATGGTGGATGGAGGCTGTGGGGAGGATGGAGGCTGTGGGGAGGATGGAGGATGGAGGCTGTGGGGAGGATGGAGGCTGCGGGGAGGATGGAGGCTGTGGGGTGGATGGAGGCTGTGGGGAGGATGGTGGATGGAGGCTGTGGGGAGGATGGAGGCTGTGGGGAGGATTGAGGATGGAGGCTGTGGGGAGGATGGAGGCTGCGGGGAGGATGGAGGCTGTGGGGAGGATGGAGGCTGTGGGGTGGATGGAGGCTGCGGGGAGGATGGAGGCTGCGGGGAGGATGGAGGATGGAGGCTGCGGGGAGGATGGAGGCTGCGGGGAGGATGGAGGCCAAACCTGTGCACTTCTGGGTATGGGCCTCCAGGATGACGCCTTTGTAGGTGACCTGGCAGGTGAAGGTGCTCTCTGACTGCCACTCTTCCTCAGTGATGTTGAGCTCGCTGTGGGTGGAGGCCAGCTTGCCTTCCTGCTTGGGGGGGGCTGTGGGTGTCACCCTGATCTTCTGCCGGTTCTTTAGCCAGGTGACCTGCAGGTCATCTGGGGTGTAGCCGGAGATGAGGCAGTACAGGCGGATGGTGGGGTGGAAGCCCCTGGGGTCGCAGGAGGAGTGCAGGAGGTCCACGGTGGGCTTTGTGAAGTTGCCTAGGTGGCAGCCTAGCAGAGAGAGAGCGAACGGAGATTTCCCGGGGCCTGGGCCCTGCGCGCCGCTGCCCTGCACGCCCCTGCCCTGCACGCCCCTGCCCTGTGCGCCCCTGCCCTGCACGCCCCTGCCCTGCGCACCCCTTCCCTGCGCACCCCTGCCCTGCTCTGCGCACCCCTGCCCTGCGCGCCCCTGCCCTGCTCTGCGCACCCCTGCCCTGCGCGCCCCTGCCCTGCGCGCCCCTGCCCTGCGCGCCCCTGCCCTGGGGGGCCCTGCCCTGCGTGCCCCTGCCCTGCACGCCCCTGCCCTGCGCACCCCTGCCCTGCTCTGCGCGCCCCTGCCCTGCGCGCCCCTGCTCTGCGCACCCCTGCCCTGCGTGCCCCTGCCCTGGGGGCCCCTGCCCTGGGGGCCCCTGCCCTGCGCGCCCCTGCCCTGGGGGGCCCTGCCCTGCGCGCCCCTGCCCTGCGCACCCCTGCCCTGCCCTGCGCGCCCCTGCCCTGCACACCCCTGCCCTGCTCTGTGCACCCCTGCCCTGCGCACCCCTGCCCTGCTCTGTGCACCCCTGCCCTGCGCACCCCTGCCCTGGGGGCCCCTGCCCTGGGGGGCCCTGCCCTGCACGCCCCTGCCCTGCGCACCCCTGCCCTGCCCTACGCGCCCCTGCCCTGCACGCCCCTGCCCTGGGGGCCCTGGAAGTCTCGCTTGGACATAGTCTCTTGCTGTGGCAGCCGCTGGCGTGGCCCTGCTCACCTTGGACGGTCCTGTTCATGTAGGTTGCAGATGGTTCATGTGCCACATGGCAGGTGAAACTCTTTGTGGTCAGCGTGTCCAGGACGGTCACTCGGCTGGTGGTGACATGGAGGCCAGAGCCGAGGGTGGCAGGGAAGGTCTGGACGCTCACGTTCTGGCTGGCTTTGTCCCAAGTCACGGTGGCCGGCTCGGGGAAGTAGCCCGTCACCAGGCAGCCCCAGGTCCTGGGCATGGGGTCACCGCAGCAGGGCCTCAAGGGGAAGAGGAGGGGCCGCTCCACAGAGGCTGTGGTGCGGCGCTGGTCAGGCCGGCCTCCGACGGGCTCAGCCTCTCCCTGGGAGTGTGGTGGGCGTGTGTCCCAGGGAGGGCGCTGGAGACCCTGCTCCCACCCCAGCCCGGTGACCGTGATTCTAACTCTTCCTCCAAGTTCCAGGCCCAAGGGCCACTTAGTGTCTCTGCACCACTTCCCACGCAACATCCTGAGCTGACTCGGGCACACGAACTCCCAGGAGAGGTGCCTGGCCTCAGCCCTGAGCCCTGGGCACGGAGGGGCACAGAGGGGCACGGAGGGGCACGGAGGGGCACGGAGGGGCACAGAGGGACACGGAGGGGCACGGAGGGCATGGAGGGCATGGAGGGCATGGAGGGACAAGGAGGGACACGGAGGGACACGGAGGGGCATGGAGGGCACGGAGGGACATGGAGGGACACGGAGGGGCACGGAGGGCATGGAGGGGCACGGAGGGGCATGGAGGGACACGGAGGGGCATGGAGGGCATGGAGGGCATGGAGGGACATGGAGGGGCATGGAGGGGCATGGAGGGCATGGAGGACATGGAGGGGCACGGAGGGCATGGAGGGCATGGAGGGACATGGAGGGCATGGAGGGCATGGAGGGCATGGAGGTACATGGAGGGCATGGAGGGCATGGAGGGCATGGAGGGCATGGAGGGGCACGGAGGGACACGGAGGGGCACGGAGGGCATGGAGGGCATGGAGGGACATGGAGGGACATGGAGGGACATGGAGGGACACGGAGGGACACGGAGGGCATGGAGGGCATGGAGGGGCATGGAGGGCATGGAGGGCATGGAGGGACATGGAGGGCATTGAGGGCATGGAGGGCATGGAGGGCATGGAGGGCATGGAGGGGCATGGAGGGCATGGAGGGCATGGAGGGGCACGGAGGGCATGGAGGGACACGGAGGGCACGGAGGGGCATGGAGGGCACGGAGGGCACGGAGGGCATGGAGGGCATGGAGGGCATGGAGGGCATGGAGGGCATGGAGGGACACGGAGGGACATGGAGGGGCACGGAGGGGCATGGAGGGACACGGAGGGCATGGAGGGCATGGAGGGGCATGGAGGGGCATGGAGGGCATGGAGGGCATGGAGGGACACGGAGGGCATGGAGGGCACGGAGGGACACGGAGGGCATGGAGGGCATGGAGGGCATGGAGGGACACGGAGGGCATGGAGGGCATGGAGGGCATGGAGGGCATGGAGGGAATGGAGGGACACGGAGGGCATGGAGGGCATGGAGGGCATGGAGGGCATGGAGGGGCACGGAGGGCATGGAGGGACATGGAGGGCATGGAGGGCATGGAGGGACACGGAGGGCATGGAGGGGCATGGAGGGCATGGAGGGCATGGAGGGCATGGAGGGCATGGAGGGCATGGAGGGACATGGAGGGGCACAGAGGGACACGGAGGGCATGGAGGGCATGGAGGGCATGGAGGGCATGGAGGGCATGGAGGGACACGGAGGGCATGGAGGGCATGGAGGGCATGGAGGGCATGGAGGGCATGGAGGGCATGGAGGGCATGGAGGGACACGGAGGGCATGGAGGGCACGGAGGGCATGGAGGGCATGGAGGGACACGGAGGGCATGGAGGGCATGGAGGGCATGGAGGGCATGGAGGGACACGGAGGGCATGGAGGGCATGGAGGGCATGGAGGGCATGGAGGGACACGGAGGGCATGGAGGGCATGGAGGGCATGGAGGGCATGGAGGGACATGGAGGGACATGGAGGGCATGGAGGGCATGGAGGACATGGAGGGCATGGAGGGCATGGAGGGCATGGAGGGCATGGAGGGCATGGAGGGCATGGAGGGCATGGAGGGACATGGAGGGACATGGAGGGCATGGAGGGCATGGAGGGCATGGAGGGCATGGAGGGGCATGGAGGGACATGGAGGGCACGGAGGGCATGGAGGGCATGGAGGGCATGGAGGGCATGGAGGGCATGGAGGGCATGGAGGGACATGGAGGGCATGGAGGGACACGGAGGGCATGGAGGGCATGGAGGGCATGGAGGGCATGGAGGGCATGGAGGGACATGGAGGGCATGGAGGGACATGGAGGACATGGAGGGACATGGAGGGCATGGAGGGCATGGAGGGGCATGGAGGGCATGGAGGGCATGGAGGGCATGGAGGGCATGAAGGGCATGGAGGGACATGGAGGGCATGGAGGGCATGGAGGGGCATGGAGGGCATGGAGGGGCATGGAGGGCATGGAGGGCATGGAGGGGCATGGAGGGCATGGAGGGGCATGGAGGGACATGGAGGGCATGGAGGGCATGGAGGACATGGAGGGCATGGAGGGCATGGAGGACATGGAGGGACATGGAGGACATGGAGGGACATGGAGGGCATGGAGGGCATGGAGGGGCATGGAGGGCATGGAGGGGCACGGAGGGCATGGAGGGGCATGGAGGGCATGGAGGACATGGAGGGACATGGAGGGGCATGGAGGGACATGGAGGACATGGAGGGACATGGAGGGCATGGAGGGCATGGAGGGGCATGGAGGGCATGGAGGGCATGGAGGGCATGGAGGGACATGGAGGGGCATGGAGGGCATGGAGGGCATGGAGGGCATGGAGGGCATGGAGGGGCATGGAGGGCATGGAGGGGCATGGAGGGACATGGAGGGCATGGAGGGCATGGAGGACATGGAGGGCATGGAGGGCATGGAGGACATGGAGGGACATGGAGGACATGGAGGGACATGGAGGGCATGGAGGGCATGGAGGGGCATGGAGGGCATGGAGGGGCACGGAGGGCATGGAGGGGCATGGAGGGCATGGAGGACATGGAGGGACATGGAGGGACATGGAGGGCATGGAGGGCATGGAGGGCATGGAGGGACATGGAGGGCATGGAGGGCATGGAGGGCATGGAGGGCATGGAGGGGCATGGAGGGGCATGGAGGGCATGGAGGGCATGGAGGGCATGGAGGGACATGGAGGGCATGGAGGGCATGGAGGGCATGGAGGGCATGGAGAGCATGGAGGGACATGGAGGGCATGGAGGGCATGGAGGGCATGGAGGGACATGGAGGGCATGGAGGGCATGGAGGGGCATGGAGGGACATGGAGGGCACGGAGGGCACGGAGGGACACGGAGGGACACGGAGGGACACGGAGGGCATGGAGGGCACGAAGGGCATGGAGGGCATGGAGGGCATGGAGGGCACGGAGGGCATGGAGGGGCATGGAGGGCATGGAGGGACATGGAGGGACATGGAGGGCATGGAGGGCACGGAGGGCATGGAGGGGCATGGAGGGACATGGAGGGACATGGAGGGCATGGAGGGCACGGAGGGCATGGAGGGGCATGGAGGGACATGAAGGGGCACGGAGGGACACGGAGGGACACGGAGGGCATGGAGGGCATGGAGGGCATGGAGGGCATGGAGGGACACGGAGGGCATGGAGGGACACGGAGGGCATGGAGGGCATGGACGGACACGGAGGGCATGGACGGACACGGAGGGCATGGAGGGGCATGGAGGGACATGAAGGGGCACGGAGGGACACGGAGGGACACGGAGGGCATGGAGGGCATGGAGGGCATGGAGGGCATGGAGGGCATGGAGGGACATGGAGGGCATGGAGGGCATGGAGGGCATGGAGGGACATGGAGGGCATGGAGGGCATGGAGGGGCATGGAGGGACATGGAGGGCACGGAGGGCACGGAGGGACACGGAGGGACACGGAGGGACACGAAGGGCATGGAGGGCACGAAGGGCATGGAGGGCATGGAGGGCATGGAGGGCACGGAGGGCATGGAGGGGCATGGAGGGACATGGAGGGCATGGAGGGCACGGAGGGCATGGAGGGGCATGGAGGGACATGAAGGGGCACGGAGGGACACGGAGGGACACGGAGGGCATGGAGGGCATGGAGGGCATGGAGGGCATGGAGGGCATGGAGGACATGGAGGGCATGGAGGGGCATGGAGGGCATGGAGGGGCATGGAGGGGCATGGAGGGCATGGAGGGGCACGGAGGGCATGGAGGGGCATGGAGGGGCATGGAGGGCATGGAGGGGCATGGAGGGGCATGGAGGGGCATGGAGGGACATGGAGGGCATGGAGGGCATGGAGGGCATGGAGGGGCATGGAGGGCATGGAGGGGCATGGAGGGGCATGGAGGGCATGGAGGGGCATGGAGGGGCATGGAGGGGCATGGAGGGGCATGGAGGGACATGGAGGGCATGGAGGGCATGGAGGGCACGGAGGGGCATGGAGGGGCATGGAGGGCATGGAGGGCATGGAGGGACATGGAGGACATGGAGGGCACGGAGGGACACGGAGGGCATGGAGGGCATGGAGGGCATGGAGGGCATGGAGGGCATGGAGGGACATGGAGGGGCATGGAGGGCATGGAGGGACATGGAGGGACACGGAGGGCATGGAGGGCATGGAGGGGCATGGAGGGCATGGAGGGGCATGGAGGGGCATGGAGGGCATGGAGGGCATGGAGGGGCATGGAGGGGCATGGAGGGCATGGAGGGCATGGAGGGGCATGGAGGGACATGGAGGGACATGGAGGGGCATGGAGGGGCATGGAGGGGCATGGAGGGACATGGTGGGCATGGAGGGCATGGAGGGCATGGAGGACATGAAGGGCATGGAGGGCATGGAGGGGCATGGAGGGCATGGAGGGCATGGAGGGCATGGAGGGCATGGAGGGACATGGAGGGCATGGAGGGCATGGAGGGGCATGGAGGGGCATGGAGGGGCATGGAGGGCATGGAGGGCATGGAGGGGCATGGAGGGGCACGGAGGGACATGGAGGGGCATGGAGGGCATGGAGGGGCATGGAGGGCATGGAGGGGCATGGAGGGCATGGAGGGCATGGAGGGCATGGACGGCATGGAGGGACATGGAGGGCATGGAGGGCATGGAGGGCATGGAGGGCATGGAGGGGCATGGAGGGGCATGGAGGGCATGGAGGGCATGGAGGGGATGGAGGGACATGGAGGGGCATGGAG